GATTCTGGTGGGAACCACAGACATAAAAGTACATGCTATTAAGCAAATGGAATGATATGGGATGAACACATTGGGTGGTAGTGTGTTGGAGAGACTGTTCAGGGACAACTTCCTGGTGGAAATAAGATCTGAGCCATCTTAAAAAAAATATAAGAGCTAAGGGAGAGAAGTTCATTGTAAACCTGAGGTACAACATGAGCAAGGAGCAAGGGAAGCAGAGTGACGATAAGTGGGCATGTTGATGAGAATCACCAGATTTGTCTGTCAAATCAGAAGCTGTTCAGTGCAGTGGAGCCTAAGCCCAAGGAAAGGAGAAGATAGTAAGTGAACTGGAGAAGGAGGCAGCGCCCAGATCATGAAAGGCCTTTGGTATCTTGAGAAATAATTTAGTCATTTTCCTGTAGATCAGAGCTCACAAGTTGGTAAACCATGAGCTAATTTTGAGCCTCAGATATTTTATTTAACCTATACAATATTATTTTAAAAATTGAAATATTATTTAACAATTGGGAGGTTTCACATATTTTTAAAAAATCTAGATTTCTGATCTTTCTAGAAAAAAAATGAGATCTGACAATACTGAGCCTGCATGTTGATATGGTGAAAATTACCCAGAAATAAATACTAGCTGTCTGATTAGGGCATATTCATTTCCAGTTCCTCTCAGCCCCCAGTACTCTCCCCTGCTTCCTCAACCAGCACTCAGCTTCTCTTTTTATCTGCATGGCTCTTGTAGTAAAGAAAGAACCTGAGAAGGATTTAGATATGAGTATACATAGTGTGAGTTGCCCCTCAAATACTATCTTTTCATGAGTAGGTCATTTAGTACTGCTGGTCTTTAGTTTCATCTATTAAATCCAGACTAGTCTATTTCCAAGGTTCCAACCTGCTCTATCACTCTATGATTCTATTACCAATGTTTCCCCGAAAATAAGACATCCCCTGAAAATAAGATCTAGCGCATCTTTGGGAGCAAAAATTAATATAAGACACTGTCTTAATTTCGGGGAAACAGGGTATTAACAGTGATGAAAAATGCTCTACTGCTTTACATTTTTCAAAAGATGTTATACTTTTTTCACAACCCTGTGAGATAAACACTGTGTTTATGATTGAACAGATGAGTAAAATGAGGTCCATAGAGACTAAGAAACAAATCCTGTGCCCCTTTTCCCACACCACACTATACTGTAAGCCTATGCCTGAATTTCCCTGTTTTTCATATTCCCCAGAGTTGGCACATAATGATTAAAATAACAAAATGCAGCCAACTAGCATTTATGAGATATAACTTCAAGGGAACAGGTCAGATTCCATATACTAAACAATAAGTGGCCTTATATATTTTTTTAAATCCTCATGTTTTTTATTTTACTTGTTTTTTATTTTATTTATTTTTTTAAACATTTTTTATTGATTTTTTTTACAAAGAGAAAGGCAGAAAGATAGACAGATAGAAACATTGATGAGACAGAAACATCGATCAGCTGCCTCCTGCACACCCCCTACTGGGGATGTGCCTGCAACCAAGGTACATGCCCTTGACCTGAATTGAACCTGGGACTGCCGACACTCTCTCCACTGAGCCAAACTGGTTTCGGATAAATCCTCATGTTTTATGTGAGGTATTTTGGAATCCTGGGAGGAAAGAGCTAAATCAGAACTCATAAGAAGGTTTTTATTCAATTCTTTTTAGATAGTTTATCCAAGCATAAAATCTTTAAAGCAATCCTATATATTAAAGATGTAATATGCAAATTTACCATCACTTCAACACACAAGATGGCCGCCCCCATATGGACACAGATGGCTGCCACCAGATGGCAGGCAGAGGGACCAATTAGGGTGACCAGGCCTGCAGAGGAGGACAGTTGGGGGGAACCCAGGCCAGCAGGGGAGGGTCTTTGGGAGTGACCAGGCCTACAGGGGAGGGCTGTTAGTGGTGACAGGTCTGCAGAGGAGGACAGTTAGGGGTGACCAGGTTGGCAGGGGAGGGCAGTTAGGGGCAATTGGGCCGGCACGGGAGCAGTTAGGGATCAATCAGGCTGGCAGGCAGGTGAGTGATTGGGAACCAGCAGTCCTGGATCGTTAGAAGGATGTCCCAGATTGGAGAGGGTGCAGGCTGGGCTGAGGGACACCCCTTTTGTGCATTGGGCCTCTAGTTTTGTAATAAAAACTGAAGGCAATTTTTAATCCTCAGATGCAGCAAAGCCTGGACTAGAGTGAGAAGGTGTATCTGCAGGGAATGCAAATGTCACTGGTTCCATATACACCAGGGTTTGTCTTCTTATGAGTTCATCTGAAGGGAGAGGAAGCCAGACTTCTAATGTTGGAATGTCTTGCGTTCTTTATGATAACTGACAAGGTGATTGGAATACCAGACTTGTGAAGTCATGTCCAGCAGCCAGATGTTTTGCTTTATATAGGTGAATTTGAAGTTACTGGAAAGAAGAAGCTAATGGAATTGTTGAATTTGGCTTAATGATACACATATGGCAAATAGATTAAAGCCAAGAGGTCATCATTCCTGTTCATTCAGGAAAAATGTGTGAATAGGAAGATAATTGAGATAATGATGCTGCCTGGGCCAGTGTGTTCGGTGGTTAGAATATCAGTCTACACACTGAAGGGTCTTGGGTTCAGTTCCCAGTCAAGGGCATATACCTGATTTGCAGGTTCAATCCTGGGCCCCTATTGGGGCACATGCAGGAAGCAACCAATCTATGTGTCTCTCACATAATCTATGTTTCTCTCTCTCTCTCTCTCTCTCTCTCTCTCTCTCTCTCTCTCTCTCTCTCTCTCCCTCCCTCCCTCCCTCCCTCCCTCCCTCCCTCCCTTCCTCCCTCCCTCCCTCCCTTCCACTCTCTCTTTCTCTAAAAAAACAAAAAACAAAAAAAAGGAAAAAATGTCTTCCAGTGAGGATTAAAAAAAAGATAATAATGTTAACCAAGACAGAAAGGCAAAGCGAAAACTTAGCATGTAATTAGATATCATCTCTGATGAGGGAACAAAGGGCATTCCTTAGGTGTCTTTATTATTGTGTGTGTGAAGCATAGTAATTATTAGGATGCTATTGTGAATTAACAGAAGTGGTATGTATTATTTTGCAGAAGAGTCTTTGTATGTTTGAGATGCTAATTGATAGAAGGGCATCCTGAGTTGAATAAGAAAACCCAAGAGCACATTTCAAACCATCAGTTCCCATCAGTTTCTTCTGGTCATCATCCAGTGATTAATCACCAGATCAAGAGATTTCTCTTCTTTCTCCCATGGTCTTATCCCTTAACCCTTTCTAGGGTTCCTCTGTGGTGAACCACCAGCACCTCGCATAGTGTCAGGGAGTCAAGTCTCCTCGACTCTTTGTGGAGAAGCTTTGGATAGAACTTCTACCGTCAGGCAACATACAGGAAGGGGCACACATAGCGGAATTATAGAGTGTCAACCTGAGATGGATTAACATAAACCCTCTTCTTTGAACCTACTTCTTTGAACCCAGTTATTTCCTGTTGCACTTAGGAAAAACAAAGACCTTTCTGATGAGTTCCCAGGGCAATCCAGAGTTTAGGTCAAATTTGCTTTCTTTGCAATCACTTGACATATAAGCTTATTATTTTTTTTCCTGGACCTCACATTCACTTCTTGAAGTTGTTTCTGGAAACAGGTTTGGCAAACACATTTTCTAAACAGCGTCCTTTTGATCCCTTTAATCCCATTTTGCCCCCCTTTTCAACCTGGTTATTTCCTTCTCCACCATTGTTCTCAGTTTGGTCTGTTTAACAGTTGGGTAACACTTCTTTCCTTTGGTCTTTCTCTCTGATTTTAAGAACTCTGCATCTTCAATGTTTATTTTTCTCCTAACTTACCATGAATGAGAATTACTTTTTATGGGAGAGACCAGACTTCTGGTCAAATTAGAAAAGTTAATTAATATTTTGACACATTCCTGATTGTTCTAAAATGCAGATTTGATAGATAAAAAAGAAGAAAACAAACACCCCTCCCCCCATGAAATGAAATCTTCTGTTATTGCAGCTCTCATAAATTAAAATAGTAAAAGTGTATTAGGTTAAACGTTGGTTATATATTTAGTCAGTGGTCTAAAGATATAAATAAGTATTCCTGTCTATCAGAAATGAACAAACAGTATAGGTGGTAAGTGGGCTGGAATTACAGGCTTGCTGAGCTCTAGGTCTGGAAGCAGGCAGTAGCAGTCAGGAGCTTGGCTCTTTCAAGTAACAGGGACTCAACAGTGTTCCATGGGAGTTGGAGAATTGAACACAGGATTGTGACTTGAAGCCAGGTGCTGGAATGCACTCAGTGTCTCATAAAAAATGACTAGGAGGGGAAAAACCTGCTTCCAACTAATGCTTGGAGCCTGTGCATCCTGGCACATGCCTGATTTGGATGCATGCCCAGTGGTTTGGCCAGCAGCTGAGCCAAGCTGCCTACTGACTCAGTGACATGATGGGCAATGCTCCAGTTATCACTATGGGGCATCTCTAAGCTGTTCTTATGAGGTTGTGTTCTGCATTGAGTTCTGGGGCACCAAGTAGAGGCAACTTCAAAACTCTTAGAAAGAGAGATGGCCAATAGGAATCTAATGACAGGAAAGACATGAATTCACTATAAATGAGATTGATTGATTTATTCATTAATTTACCTGACAAAAATTTTAAGATAATCAAGGAGAAAAAAGAAGGCATAACATAATTGAAAATAAGAAATTATAGGACAAAAGTAATAGAAATGAAACCTGAAGTGAAAAAGGATAAATTAGAAATCCTGTAAAAATAGAAAAAAAAAAGTCTTTGAAATATAAAATTTTATCCTTGTAGAGAGAATTAATGAATTGGAAGATAGTTTTAAAGAATTCACACTCAGAATGCAGAGAGACAAAGGGATAAAAATGATGAGGTCATGTTGAAGAGACAATAGATTGAGCTTGAGAGGGACCAACATTGACCACTGAGTACATTTTGATTCCACAAGGGGTCTAACTTAACGAAGTCAGAAAAAGTTAACATGTCTTCTGGAGAGCCAGAAGTAGAATTGGGATAAAACTACAAACCACATTGGAGATCTGTAAGGAAGAAGGACTGACTGGCTTCCCTCGGGTAGAGGACAATATTGGGCCTCCAAGGAAGGTTTCTTCACTCCCACCCATCCACTTAGCAGAATATTTGTTGAATATGCACAATGTTCTGTGGTCAAACGCTTTTGATATTTGCTGGTCTCCCTACCTGAGACGTTGGCCCCCCATTCTCTGTAAAACTTCTGTTTGTTTTAGCATCTCTGCTTAGATATCTCTTTGGAATAACTTAGAAGATGATAGCGTAAAATACTGCTTCAAGTGGACTGTCTCTACTTCCTCTGTTGCCAGGGTGGTCTTTGGCACATAGCAGATACTCATAAAAAATATCTGTGGAATTAATGAGTAAATAAATGACTGTTAACAGTAACTGTTAGAATGAGGCACTGGTCTTGGGTCCTCTCATTTTGAGGCTTCCACTCAACTGCAATTTAGGTAGACATTACTTGAATATCAGAACAGGTTTCTCCAGCAGCAGGTGGAAGAAGGGATTCCTGCACAGAAGGCAGTTAAAGCCAATGCTTTCAACACAGATGGGTTCTGACAAACAAGCCAACAGGTTTGCATCAATTAGGGGTAAGTACTTCTTTTTAGGGATCTAAGGCCCAGCTAAACACACTTTTGACTTCATGGTTCCAACTTTATGCAAATCATTTCTCAGTATCCAAATGAGTTGGCAAAAAAAAATGTGTCTATATTTATTATGCATACTCTTACCGGAATTTCAATAGTTGGCTGTAAATATTTGTATAGATTAACTGAGGAACTGTTTTAGGAAAGCCTATTTTGGATTAAGACAATGACAGAGCAACATTTATATGGCTCTATAGCAGAATAATTTTCTGGGCATGCTGGTTGGGTAAAACAGTTCTTCTTTACAGTTATAAACACCTGATAAGTAAGCTTCTGTTGACTAATCTGGGACTCAGAAAACATAGTCTGTGTTTCACACAACAAATTTACAAACAGGATTTTTGGAACACAGGACTCGCATGTATACTAGTACTTCACAACAATTTCCAGTGGCTCATTGCCACTGAACTTTAAACCTGGTGTTGAAAGCATTCTTAGCTTTCCAAATTTATATTCCCACAATTCCTTCACATAACCCCAGATTGTTAACAGCCAAACTGAACTGCACACGCTTACTAAACCTACAATGCTTCCAGCTGCAACACATTTGCTCAAGCCGTTAACCTATTTCTGTTTGTTAAAATCTTGTTCTCCCTCAGAAAATCAGCTGTAACCTTTCCTGATCTCCCTCAGTATGACCACTTCCTCCTGTAAATATCAAAGGTACTTTGTTTCTTCGTTTTGTTTGTTTTTTGTTTTCATTCCTGACATTGTTTTATTTGTACTCTAGCCCATTTTTTTTTCTCTTACCGAAATTTTTATTTTTAATTTAATTTAATTTTATTGTTTAAAGTATTACAAATAATAGTACACATATCTTATTTTCCCCCCATTGACCTACCCCTGGTCTCCCTACTCCCCCACACCCGGCACATGTCACTTCCTCCTGTAAATACCAAAGGTACTTTGTTTCTGCATAAAAAAGATGACAGTGCCATTTATCAAGCATCTTCTATATACTGACCTTTGCGATAAGCACTTTATAAACATTGTTTAGTATAATCCTCATGACAGTTCTATGGGAATAGGCATTAATTTTACCTGTGCCTCTTCCATAGTGCTCACTCTTTCTCTACCCATTGTCTGAAGGCAAAGAGGGGCAAGGTCCTTAGAGCAGGATTTGGCACACTGAAACCCACTGCCTGTTTTTGTAAATAAAGTTTTATTGGAACACAGACTTGCCCATTCATTTACACCTTGTCTATGGCTGCTTTGTGTTACAGTGGCAGAGTTGAATAGTTGTGACAGAGACCATATGGCCCACAAACCTAAAATATTTACTATGGCCCTTTACAGGAAAAGTTTGCCAACCTCTGGAGTAAGAGGATGGTGAAACCACAAGATGGAAGGATCCCGAGTCCCTGATTAATTCACCGGAGCAGAACTCAACGTTCCCCCATCCCACCAACCTGCATTGCCCTGTGACAGGAGTAAGAAATAAATTTTCATTCCGTTAGTACATCGAAACTACTGGGTTATTTGTTCCAGGAAGTAGCCTAGCCTCACTGATATAAGAGCCAGGTAAACATGCTAGCTGGCCAGGACAGCAATCAAATGATTCCTCTTTCCTCAGTCCAAGGATATGCAAAGGTTGTTATTGAGTTCTGCTATTGGCTTCTGATGCCTTTTAAAAATTACAGATGAGTAAAAGAGAAATTCTAGGACCTCAAATCAGAAATATGCTCCACAAAATAGCTTTTCTGAAGACCTTGGTGACTGAGTTGCTAGTTATTAATTGAGTAAATAAACACCATAGTGAAAATGTCCCAACAATTTTTGAGGCGTGTTGTTCAGGTGGGGGAGGCCAAATTGAGAAAAATCTGTGAAGAATTTCTCCATTCCAGGCATCTCCAGAATTAGGGGGACTGAAACGGAAGCAGACATCTATTGGATGACAGCTTCTCTCTTGGAAGAACAGTTTGTGACATCTTTCTACCCTTTAGATGAAAAAATACTAGGGAAAGGAACCCATCTGGAGATAAAGATGAACTTTCCCATGATTGCTGGCATGTTGAAAGTGATTACAGTGCTCTAATGGAAATCTGAATTAAGTTAAGGGCCATCATCAGCTTATCTTTTGACTGTATTTTCTGTGGAAGAACAGCCTAGTCAGTAATGTGTAGGCCATTTGGGTTCCTTGCTGGTTTTCAGGGATCATGATGGAAGCTGTTTATCCTCCTGCTGTTTTTGTTGCTTCTTTGCTTTAACAGCACATAGTGACCCTGGGGAAAATAAAGCTAGTTATACATTAACTGATCCCAACTTCTTCATTTCATGGACTCATCAAAGTTCATGTTGGATAACTGTTGCCAAGATTATTTACGCAGGCCCTAGCCAAGATACTTGCTATGCACACTACGAGCATAGGTCTCTATTGACAACAGTGCATCTTCCCTGCTGCTCTCGATTTCATCTAGACTGAGGATTGCAAATTTGTATCAGCAGCCCACATGCCTCCTGCAGGCATGTTCAGTTTGAGCTTCACAGTATTTTAAAATCAGAATGATTTCACACAAAAGTCCAGGTTTCAACTCCTCCTAAAATTAAAACAGCCTAAAAATACCAAGCCCACACAACTGTGTTCCACCAATAATTTAGAGCTATAATTAGGTGGGCATGCACCTTCCAGATGAATGTGGTTCCCAATACTCCCTCTTATCTTATTGTAGTTCTGGCCTGCCCTAGTCTTCACAGCATCTGTCTGGTTTCTGGAATTCCTGGCTTTCACTCCAGGGCTTCTTGTTATCTCCTCTGCTTATCTCTCTCTCTCTCTCTCTCTCTCTCTCTCTCTCTCTCTCTCTCTCCCTCTCTCTCATTAAAAGAGGGCTGGATTTAGAGTCAGATTACATGGATTAGCATGGGGTGGAGTGGGGCTGGTGCCGGCAGCAGGTGCAAGCACCTAGTGGTATTGAGGCATGTGAAAGCAAAGAATTTTCAGTAACCACCAGAGGCATGCCCTGATGACAGTCACGGGTGTTCCACCTTGGTCTGGCGCCCCACTCACCTGCTCCACCATCCTTCCATGGCCAACGCCCGCCATGTTCCCTATGGTCAGCGCACGTCATAGTTTGTTGTTCCACTGTTCCATCTATTTGCATATTAGGGTTATACTCATCTATCTATCTATCTATCTATCTATCTATCTATCTATCTATCATCTATCTATCTATTACCAGCTAGCCTCTAATCTAGCTGAGAAACCTAGAGAGATGCTGCTAGAGGTTCCAAATCATTAAAGTATTATAAATTAAGATACCCAAACTTTGTGTGGTGTAGGCTCAGAGTTTTGATGTTCATAGATGACTTTTTTTTTTCCCTTTCTCAAAACCCCAGGCAGATGGTATATTTATGCAGGGAGTTCAGTTCCATCCTCCTAAAGGCCTGCACTCACATTTTTTTGGTTTGCTTTCTGTAGGTGTTAGGAAACTAGTTCCCTGGCCTAAAGGGCCCATAACTCCATCGGAAACGTCTGTGGATTCCTTCTGGTATCAGCTCATATTTATTCCTCTGGCTTGATTTCATGCCATTCTTGGCACCTGAAGATCCATTTTTTTCTTATCAAATTTGGTTATGTGGATAATATTTTGTTACATTGTATCTAGTATTTCTGTGTGGCAAGGGGTATATTAGGGTCTGCTCAGTGGACTGAATGGTCAGAAATGGTCTACTACATTTTCTATGTATTATTATTACTAGAGACCCAGTGCATGAAATTTGTGCATGGGGGAGAAGGGGGGTGCGCAGGGGCAGTCACCTCAGCTCAGCCTGCACCCTTTCCAATCCGGGATCCCTCTCACAATCCTGGACTGCTGGCTCCTAATCGCTCACTTGCCTGCCTACCTGGTTGCCCCTAATTGCCCTTCCCCCACCCCCGCCGGCCTGATTGCCCCTCACTACCTCTGTATGCTGGCCTGATCACTCCTAATTGCCCCTCCCCCCACTCTGGTTGCCCCTAGCTGCCCCCCACTACCAGCCAGGTTGCCCTCTCCCTGCCAGCCTGGTTGCTCCTAACTGCCCCCGCCCACCAGCCTGGTCATCCCTAACTGCCCCTCACCAGCCTACCATCCCATCTACCCCCCACCAGCCTGGCGCCCCACTCACCTGCTCCACCATCCCTCCATGGCCAACGCCCGCCATGCTTGTTCAGTTGTTCAGCCTGCTTGTTCAGTTGTTTGGTCGTCCCTCGGTCCAGCCCATGGCAGTGGGGAGCTGAGGGGACTGGGGGACTCCGGAGGCAGGTGTGTGAAGTGGCTGCACTCATGCTACCCTGGAGGGGCTGAGGGGACTGAGTGCTGCCATCTTGTGGCTGTGGGCGCCACCATCTTTGAGGGTGTGGCAGTCAGTTAACATATTCCCTCTTTATTAGACAGGATAATTATTTTGTAATGAAGTATAACATACTATTCTGTCATTTGACATAGGTATACATCCCTTGTCACAAGAGAGGAAAATCCTGCATGCCATTGGGCTTCAAACTGAAGGAATTTAAAAATGTGTATATAATCTGGATCCTGAGCTTGAATTCCAGTGCCAGGAGGACAGCTTGTTTGCAGGAGCCCAAGAAAGATATCTTTGAACCCTACCCCTTACCACAGTATCTTGCACCCAATAGTTGTTAAATAAATGTTTGTATAATTGAATAGGAATTGAATTATAATTGGAGAAGATGGGAATTCTTGTCATTTTCTTTTCTGGAATAAAAGTCCTGGAATGCCCAGCTGGCATGGTTTAGTGGTTGAGGTCACAGTTTGATTCCCAGTCAGGGCACATGCCCAGGTTGTGTGATTGATCCCCAATGTGGGGCATGCAAGAGGCAGCCGATGGATGATTCTCTCTCATCATTGATGTTTCTGTGTCTCTCTTCCTCTCTGAAATCAATTAAAAATATTTTTTAAAAAAGTCCTGGAATTAGGATAGAGAATTGAGATCAGGATGTTGTTTCAAGACCCAGAATACTTTGTAGTCTCAATAGAACATCCATCTTACTGTTCCATGGCCTTTCATGTAATCATAAAATATAGATGACAACAATGCTGTCTAAAGTTCTGAGATGACATTTTTATGAATGATTCATTTTTCATTCAAATATCATATACTGGTTATTTACTGTGTGTAAAGTAGTTTTGCTAGCTTCTATGTGGCATAAAGTGATGACTAAGACCCAAACTCTACCCTCAACTACTTAACAGCTTAATGTTAGGCAATGGGGTCAAAAATATCCATTAACTGAACTAAAAATAACTACTCCTTATCAAATGCTTTCAGTGTGCCAGGTACTACACTAAGAACTTTGCATGGATTAGCTCATTTAAGCTTATGTAAGGGGAACTGTTCTTGTGTCCATTTTATCAATGAGAGAACTGAAGCACAGAAAGGTTAAGAAACATATATAAGATCACAGAGTAGGAAAGAGGTAGAGCTAGGAATGACACCCAATCATTCTTATTCCAGACCTCAATAATTCAAATAATTTCCTGCATGGAAGACCAAATAATCCTTTACGGAAGGTAAATGTTCTATAACAGGTGTTCAGATCAGACTGAAAGCACAAAGGAAGGAAATCTTTGTAGAGACATCTCTTCTCTCCCCTCCTCTCCCCAGAATCTTGATGAAGAAGTGGTACTCTGACAGACAGTGATTGATGAGAGGTGTCTAGAGGTAGGAAATTATCTGAGCAAAGACAGAGAGCAGAAGGCACCTTGGGATGTGTGGGAAACTGCAGGTAAGCAGTCCAGCGTGACTGCATGTGGAGTGTTTGTGTGAGATAAGGCAGGAAAGTTGAGGCAGTTGGGATTTAAATTTCAGATGAAGAACTTTGGAACAGGAAGTGGGGAGGGTATGTGGCATTTCTCTCATTGTTGGTCATAATTAACAGTAAAGCCCGTGAGCAAGCTCTAGAATTGATTTGGTCTACTCTGCTTAGGAGGGACAAAGGGAAAAATCTATCTCAAAGGGGAAATTAAATAACTTTAGAGGTTATTAAATCTGCTCTGGGCTTCAGAAGCAAGATTTCCGAACTGGGATTCCGGACTCATGGATGGAATTCAGGGGTCCTAGAATTTCAGGAAATTATGGGCAAATTTTGAGTTGCGTGAACATGTGTATTTCTTGTCTAGGGAGATGGTTCATAAAGACGCATCACTTTCTCTAAGCATTTGTTGTCAAATAAAATTGCAAACCACTGCTCTGAGAAGAAAAAGTCAGCAGCCATCCCACTGGGGCCTTGCCTGGAGCCAATGGGCTGTCCTGAAGCTTTGAAATTCCACAGAAGTCAAAACTGAGAGTTTGCGTTCCTCGCAGACAAGCAAAACTTTCCACAGAACTATCATCACCATGCATCAGCAGAAGCCTGCCTTATGTCAGCCTCCACCCCAGAATTGCAGGTTATCTTGGTTAGCAGTACCAACTGGGAAGGTATCAGGTAAGACAAATCTCAATGTGAAAGTGTCAGTAGAAACTGGGTCACTTTTGATATTCTCTCCTTACAGGTGGACAAGGGTAATAGGAAGATGCAATATCCAAACAGATGAGAGCTGTCTGGAAGGAATTGTACTATTGTACTTTTAATTCAACCCACCAGAGTCACGCAGCTGCAAAACTGGCTAGACAGTGAGGCAACTTGTGGGCAAGGCCTGTGAGAAAACCCTTGAGTGCTTCCTGTTTGTCAAGTCATTTCAGAGCTTGCCCAGCAGGCTTTGCCATCAGTGACACCAGCTGAGGTGACTGAGGGCGGGAAGGCAGAAACGCCAGTGATGAAAACGAGGTTTCCAGGCAAATCCTTTGATTTTCAGAGATAGTTGTGGTTTTTAGTCAGGATCAGGACCTTCTGCAGGTGATAGAAAACAGTGGCGAACAGTGGTAGCTTAATCAGGATAGCAATGTGTGTATCTCATGTAAACCAAATCTGGATTTGAGCAATCTGAGACTGGTTTGGCAACCTCACAATCAGCAGGGACTGTGGCTCCCTCTTTAGCTTGTTCCTCCACCAAATCTATTCATGATCTAAAATGGCTCTTCAACCTCTCCACCCGGAGGAAGGAGAAGAAGAAGAAAAGGAGCCCCCTTTCTTTGAGAACACTTTGTCAGAAGATTCATGTTGCAGTTCTGTTTACATTCATTGTCTGGAACACATTGGCTACAACTAGAGTTGAAGGTGATTGGAATATAGTCTTCAGTGGACATCCAAGGGTCCAGCAAAACATTGGGGGGTCTTGACACACACACACACACACACACACACACACACACACATACACACACACAACTAGATGTCTCTGTACACTGTGTCCTCTCAGTAAAGATAGAATGTCTTGATACCATTTGATAACTCTATAGAGACTTTAGCAAGCCTGGATCCTCTCTTATTTACTGAGGTGATTTAGTTCTCCTCATGCCAGTGGGCACATTTACATAGATAGCATCCTTTATTTTTGTTTGTAGGAATGTGAGAAGCAAGATTTTTTTCTTCCTCCCTTCCTCACTGATTCATTCATTCGTGTATCAGTATTGTCATAGCAGAGATAGTCAACTGTCTACCACATTTATGCTTCCCATTCAATGTGTAGCATTGTTCCTGGGAAGTGGTTGTCTAGCCAGGAGCCAGATTTCTCCGCCTCCAGCATTAAGATGGGCCCATCTGACCAACTTTTGCCAATGGAATGTGAGCAGAGGTGACACATCTCTTCTGTAAGGAGGTGGTTAAAAACAGGCATGCTTTCTTCATCCCCTATTTTCCTATCTGCCTCTGGAAGCAAGGGACCCTGAGGCCTAGCAGATAGCAGAGCCACATGTGGAAGGAGTCTGGGACCAGAATCACCTCAGGGGAAGCTGCCCACATATATCCACATTGTACTGCCATATAAACAAGAAATAAATCAACTGATTTCAGGCCCAAGGCTCTTTCTTCTACTCCAGGCTTCTTCTTAAATATCACTTTAGAAGGAATTGCCAAACTTAAATTGCCAAAAGGGGAAAACAGCCCAAGTACCAGCTTAAGTTTGATGGTGCTCAGCACTTAGCCCACACTAATACAACACTAGATTGAGAGCTTAGCTCTCACATCAGATAGAACTACAATAGATGCAAATGCCACTTGCAGTACTTACCAGCTGTGAGATTTCAGGTAATTTCTATTAGTTTATGAATAATAATCTGTCTTTCCTCATTTATATAATGTGGTTTAATAATACCACATACAATATATATTTTTTTGTATTAGAAGCTGGGATCTAGTAAATGCTTCATACCGGTTAGTTGTTATTATAATCACATATTGTTGGACTCCTTTTCTATTTTAATAGAGTAGCTTTTGCTAATTTAGGGAATAATAAAAAAGTTGGGGCTCTCTCACTTTGTTCTTCTCTTGCACCCTCCAGGTCTGGGTCTCTCTGCTGATGGTCATCATGATCGTGCACAGCAGTTGTCTCCTTCTCCAGCCACTCTGTGGTAGGCGGAATAATGTCCCCCAAAGATGTCCATGTCCTAATTCCTGGAATCTACAAATATGTTACCTTATATAACAAAAGGAATTTTGCAGCTGTAAATAATTTAAGGATCTACCCTGTTTCCCCCAAAATAAGACAGTGTCTTATATTAATTTTTTCTCCCAAAGTTGTGCTAGGTCTTTTTTCAGGGGATGTCTTATCTTCCCATGCGCTAGGTCTTATTTTTGGAGGATGTCTTATTTTCGGGGAAACACGGTATAAATGGGGGAGATTATCATGCATTATCAAAGTGGGCACCACGTAATCACAAGATAGAATAGGAAGACAGAGAGTCAGAAAAGTAGATATGATAATGGAAAAATAGGAGATATGATCTTGGAGCAATTTGATTACTGGCTTAAAAGATAAAAAAATAAAAAATAAAAAAATACCACAAGCCAATGAATGTGGGCAGCCTCTAGAAGCTGGAATAGGCAAAGGATGGATTCTCCCCCAGAGCCTTTAGAAGGTACATGGTCCTGCCAAATCCTGATGTTAGCCCAGCAAGACATGCATCTAATGATCTTACAGGATTGTACATAATTAATTTATATTATTTGTCGTTAAGTTTGTGGTAATTTGTTATAGCAGCAATAGGAAGCTGATACCCACTATTCTAACATGTATTGCAATGTGCATGTGAAGCTTTTTACTGAAGGGAGAGGGGAAAATCTCAGAAAGGAATCATGGTGTAAGAACAAAGGCAGAGGTGCTGGCTAGCATGAACTTTCCCTTGCATCACACAAAGAAAAGTAGTTCAAGACATGGGCTTTCACAAGGCAGATGTCATCACCTTCCCTGGAATGCCCCTCAACTCCTGGTCAGGCTCTCGTTCTCTGTCTTGTGTCTTAGATACTCTATTTTCCACCCCTGCCACAACCCTGCCATTGCAAGCTGTGAGTCTGCCAAATCCCACAATAGATAAAACATGTCTCCTATTTCCTCATTGGCAGGGCTCTGGCTTTGAACTTGAGCAATAGTGGACCCCATACTTATAGTGAGAGCCCTGGCATGTTCCTGCCCTTCCCAGCCCCAGAGCAGCAGCAACATAGGCCCACGCAGGGCAAAACATTTTCTCCATCCCAAAAGGAGACTCTGTACCCATTAAGTAGTCACTCTCCACTTTCTTCTTCCTCCAGGCCCTGGCAACCACCACCTGCTTTCTGTCTTTATGGGTTTACTTTTTTTGGACATTTCAAATAAATTGAATAATACAATATATGGCCTTCTGTATTTGCTTTTTTTTATTTAGCATAATGTTTTTGAAGTTTATTCATATTATATATCAGTACTTCAACTATTTTCATGCCTCAATAATATTCCATTGTATGGATATATATTTTGTTTATCCATTTATCTCTCAATGGATCCTTGGATTGTGCATTAAGTTAGCCAACATTTATTATAGGGTGTTGGATTGAATGTTCAATGACCTTGTGATATGCCCTAGACATAAAAGTATGAGCTTGTTTAATAGCTACTGGGTAAGATTTTTGTAGATTTTAATAAGCTACAAGTGAGGTCTTAGAGGCTGCTGTCAGAGAGGAGCTTTGTTGTCTTTTTATTTTATTTTATTTATTTATTTATTGAAAAGGTAATTTTCCTAAAGGTCAAAGGCATGAGAGTAAATGAATAACTTTCCCTGGATGCAGCTAGGAGAACTCTTATGGTTGAGCAGAACTCTTGTGCCCACTAAGGGGTCTTGGAAGGTAAGACTAAGATGTGACTTAGAGGCAAATAGCTGACATTCTTTCATCCCTAGAGTAGCGAGGTCATTTCACTGCTGTTGGCCTCTGAAAATCGGGACTAGGGTCCATGATTTCAGGCGATAATTGTTTTGTGGATCCTCTCTAGGTACAAGGAGAGACTTCTGATTATAGCAACTTATTGTCTGAAAAGGCAGACCATGATGAACTGGCCTAAGAAAGGCTTAGGGTGGCGCAAAGATATGGAGGTGCCCCCTGACCTTCAGATATACCACCCATGGAGGGTCTGCACGTGGCATATATCAAGGCCCTCAGTCCATATCCTCCCTGCTGCCTTGGGCCACTTGTGACAATTTGACTCTCAAATCATCTTCAGTTTCCTCTCCTGACTCCTGTGATTTGTTTCTTTCTCCAAAAGCAGGGAAACAATCCACTAATTAAGTGGCCTGGATTCTTAGACTAAAGGGAACTGGGGGTTTACTTGTTTCTATCTCAGGGTCTTTGACCTTTCTGTCTATTATGTTCTTCCAGGTGTCAGCATCAATGTCACTTCCTCAGAGAGACCTCTTAGACCCCCTAGATGTCCCACAGCATCTCCTGGCATTCACACTTTATCTCATTACCCTGATTCATTTTATTTAGGTTTTGATCTCTAATGGAAATAATTTTGGTTATATATTTCTTCTTTTTTTAATATTTTTTATTTTATTTTATTTATTTTTTACAGAGAGGAAGGGAGAGAGATAGAGAGCTAGAAACATTGATGAGAGAGAAACATCAACCAGCCACCTTGTGCATACCCCCTACCGGGGATGTGCCCGGAGCCAACGTACATGCCCCTGACTGGAATCGAACCTGGGACCTCTCAGTCTGCAGACCGACGCTCTACCACTGAGCCAAACTGGTTTCGGCTTGGTTATATATTTTTTTTATGTGTGGTTGGCTTTGACTTCTTCCATTAGACTGCAGGCAGAGGTTCTATATTCCAGAGCACTTAGTACAGCCTACCACAGATTCAAGGAAAGGGGTGTCTATGGGCTTCAGGTTAAGAATTTCTGTTCTAGAATATATCACTGAAGCTTGGTTCACCATTTTAACTCTAGCACATAAGACACAGTAAATACTCTTTTCATATTTGTGGAAAGATGGATGGAAAGGAGGAAGGAAGGAACAAAGGAGGGGAGCAGCATTCTTCTTTGGGTCTGATACTGTTCTCAGAACAAGCTTGCCAATGAATGAATGGATGGATGGATGGATGGATGGATGGATGGATGGATCTTACAGGCAGCACAGTGATAAATGAGAGTAGTCCCTTCCTCTACCAGTTCTAATAGTGATTGTATCTTGGGTGAGGTCTGTTGTATACTATGAAAACCTATTGAATAACTCACCCATAGCTGAATCAGAATGCGTACTTGAATGATGAAATAAATGGCTCTTTGACTGACAGAGACAACCCCCACACTGCAATTTCTCAGGTATGATGGATCAAAGCACTGAGATTTCTATCAGACCAGTTTAAAAAAATATATATTTTATTGATTTTTTTACAGAGAGGAAAGGAGAGGGATAGAGAGTTAGAAACATCAATGAGAGAGAAATATCAATCAGCTGCCTCCTGCACACCTCCTACAGGGGATGTGCCTGCAACCAAGTACATGCCCTTGACTGGAATTGAACCTGGGACCCTTCAGTCCACAGGCTGATCCTCCATCAACAGAGCCAAACCGGTTAGGGCCAGAACAGTTTTCCCCTTGGACTGCCATGGGCTTCTTTTCTCATCAGCAAGATCAGAGCTTTTGTGGGTTCTTGGTTTTTACCGTGACAGCACTGCTTGTGGGAATCAGCCTCACCATCGTCACCTGCCCTTGTCGAGCTGGAGTCATATGTAAGAAGACATCCAAGGGTAGGACCCCTTTTCCTGCTTGGTGGGAAGACAAGATCCATGGGATAGCTGGTTCACTAAGAATCTGGCTCTATCATCTGACAGGTTATTTCAGGTGCTCATGAATATTAACTGGAAAGATCAGTGGTAGGCGGATTATTGTTCTGGTGCCTTACAAGTCAGCAGTCACTGACAGGACTTAAATGAAAACTCAGTGCTAGTAGAGACAAAATCTCATTCATTATTCAATGCTTCAAAAAAAAAATCCTAATATGGCAGCTGTGCAGATGCCAACATGCATCTATTGGTATCAGGCACTTAAACTTTTGGAATGCCTTCTAAGATATTTATGGATAAATGAATATTCATGGAAGTGCCATAAAAACGAAGGATCTATTTCTGAATAGGGGAAAGATAAGTAGCTTGGGAAAATAAATGGCAAGTAAAGGTGGCTGTAAAAACTATAGGCTATGCATGGACCTGCTTTATTGTAATGGTACAGAGGGGGCCATCTTTCTAGGTTATCATGCAGGTCAAATAGGAAACCGGCTCTGGTGTTCCCCACCCACAGGGTCTATAGTTTAAAGAAAAGGTCAAGGTGGGCAGAGTGGAATTCTATAATCTAGCAAAGTTGAGCCCTATTACCCCGAAGCTGATCGACTTGTTTAACATATTTCAAAGTGATAACCTATTAAGCCTTCCCTGGGCCACAGCACCCTGCAAGTAAAGCTTTGGAGCCAGCCTTGCTTGTCCATCTATATAATCATCTAATTACCTTTCCTCTCTTTAGGTTAGTGAGGTATGTGCTTTATCAGATAAGATAGTCAAGGTCACGGAATATAGATTAAGTGTCGGAAGAAAATGGATTTCTCTTTTCTTGAACTCTATAACATTCCCAGCCTATTCTGCATTTGTGGCCCTCAGTGGACTCGTGAGTTCAGGATTCTCTCTACTTGCTTCTTCTCCTCCATAAAGGATCATCCGTCTCCTGTTTGATGATTTTTCTAAATCTGTGATGCCCATTAGAATCACCTGGGAGTGATTTTTTAAAATTAAAAAAACATATTTTTATTAATTTCAGAGAAGAAGGGAGAGGGAGAGAGTTAGAAGCATCAATGATGAGAACCATTGATTGGCTGCCTCCTGCATGCCCCCTACTGGGCATGTGCCCTTCATCTGCCCTTGACAGGAATGGAACCTGGGACCTTCAATCTGCAGGCCAACACTCTGTCCACTGAGCCAAACCAGCTAGGGTGCAGTGATTTTTTTTTTTTTTTTTTAAAGCTCATTTGCCTGGTCCCCACTCCAGGAGTTTATTAAAACTCCCCAGGTGATTGCATTGAACAACCACTGCTCCAAATCCCCACCAACTACTCACAATGACTTCTGTTCAGATGTCTATAGATGGCTCTCAGTTCATTCCCCTTGTTCAAAAGAAATGAGAAGCTGTTCAAACCAGATGAGATGAGAAAGATTAC